GTCGCCATATACACGTATGCCGCATGCACGGCCGACCCGGCTCTCCTCTGGCCGCGTCCCGACAAGGAAGCCAGCCTAACCTAACATCGAGGTGGACTCACTTAGCCCGGCAAGGATTCGCATCCGTAGGTGTGGAGTATGGCGTCAGGACCCATCCAGCCTCTCGGGTACTCGCTCGCTTCTGAACTCAGCCGAAGCGACACGCCGAACTCGAGCTTCCTTCTAGAACGTCTGGACGGTCGACTTGGATTATTCTCTGATTAGTATTTGAGTTTGATCATTTTTTCATTCGCGTCATCCTTCGGTACAGCCTCTTCCTGGAGTCGATTCGCCTCGACAAGGCTCGTCTGGTCTTCCCTATCTTTCTGGGTGGCTCGTATCTCCCTTTCAAACTGCCGGAAGCAAAGGAAGCTGCAATATGAACCCTTACCAAGGTTTCGTTGCACTGGGATATACCTGTGTAGAGTATAAGTACCATTTAACGCCTGTGTCAGATAACCGTTCTGTGATCCGTACACGGCCCGATAAGGGCCCGTAGCACGCTTCGATAGGGCCGCCTTTACAATGCGCGACGATTAATAAATCCCCATTGGTCGTGCCGTAAATTCTCGACGGCCGGCTCCTTCGCGGCTCGACGTCACTGCAATAATAATATTATTCCAGGCACGACGCGATGCGGCAGAGTTAACGCCTAGTTCTCTGCGCGGTTAGCTAACTTGTCGGTAACTCAAACACCGGAAGACGGACTCATGGAAATTCTGCGAATCAATCAATTCAATACGGTTTCCCATCTAACGTGTGGATTGGTACACGCTGTTCAGGTTCGTACCATGGTCGGTTACGTTACTTGCTGACATTTCGTGTACTTCGGATTCATGTTTTTATCTGTCGTTAGAACCGTACTGGTACCTTGTTTAATGATAGCTGAAATTTCGTTTTTTTTTTTTTTTTTTATTATTGAACTTTTAGGAGCATAGATCATTCTTCCGCGTGGGATACCATTGCGGTGCTTCTGTTCTTGCAAAAGGGACTTGGCTTCGTGGGTTTATGCATGTACGTATGCGGTTTATGCGCGTACGGAAAGGTCAGGAATCAATTTAAATACATGAGATTGCGATAAGTTAGCACAGTGCGTCAATCAATTTAACACAATGGAGCATTGTGGGTAGTCACGTGCTCGGTATAAGATCGTACAGACGGATACGTGTGATCGCTTTGAATTTAGGGAGAATCAGTCGGGACTGGTTGGTTGCCAAATGCGGAGTAGCCGTTGTACGAGAGACTCGGAGAGCGAAGGAAGTCTCGTTAAATACGGAAAGGCCGTAGATGCGTGTCCCGAGTAAAAGGGACACGCTTCACGGTTCGTCCTGGTTTTTGGGTGTGAACGGGCTTTAGCGAGGGCGTCTCTTGAGGCGTTTTCAAAGAATTATACGTGAGTCTGAAAGCGTGTCGTCGGAAAATTATTACTTAAAAATTGTAAAGCCTGAATTTTCCCGACAAAGAAAATTTTCACTGGCACGCAACATCGAAGTCTATTTTACGTTGGGCATCGAGAAAGACTTTCGACGACTCCCCGAGCAAGATTTCGCGAACCGGTAGTAAAGAATGCACGGTCGAGTCGCGTTGTGGGTGATTCTGGGTGTTTCACATGGAAGGCGGCTTTAATCGGACGCTGTAAATCAGGCTTAACGCTTCGTGCATAACCGGTAAACGGGCCGGAGTTATGGTTTCGTGAGGCAACGGCTCCTTCCTGTTTTGCGCCAAAGCGAAGAAAATTACGGGACGTTTCCCCTCTGCCTGCCCGCCAGTGCTTTTACTTTGCCGTTCTGTTCTCCTTGGTTCCTCGCTTATCTCGCTCCTTTCGCTCGGTCCGAATTCCTCGTTTCTTTTATCGCTCGCCACAAAACCCCTTGGCCAATAGTCCATATTTGAATATACGTCGTGCGCTAATAATAAAGGTCCGCGTAAGCGCACTTTAGACGAAATTGCACACTTCTTGCAAGTCACCTGCCATTTAGTCTTTATTTCCAGGTTAACGATCTTACGCGTCCATTCTTTCGATTCGTCGTTATATATGTACGTACCGTCGTGGATACGGAAACCAGCGAGACACTCCGTGAGTTATCCAATTCGATATCACTTCTCACCATCTACGCGTAGAGTGCCAATGGTGCTAATAGGATGAAGTATAAAGAAGGAATTCGCAGGAGAAATATATTTTCATCAAGCGTAGCAACAAGGGACGGTACAGCTACCGTTCGTGTTCATGTGGGGGGGCCGGGCCCCTCTGCGTGATTGGTAGAGTCATATTTGAGTGCAGAGGCCGGGGGCCCACGCACCAACGACGCACGGCACTGCCGCCAACGCGGCGTACGAGTTCCTCGCTATACGGGATCATAATTCTGACCCGGCTAAAAAATTAAGCCGCCTGATCTCCATACACGACCCACGAGGCTCCGTCGTTGCTTCTGAAACCCGCCCTCTTTGCACCTTCGGTCTAGGCTTCGTGTCTTTCCCCACTGTCGTTCGCTATTTCCACTTTCTCTATCGGCGTCACCCTTGCTTCTGGTATTGCATTTTTCTTATCTACCCTCTCTCTTCGAACAGACGGCTCTCGCATTCATGTTCCTTTTTTTTCTCCGTCTCGATTAAATTCTCGCGTTCGAAATGTAATCGAGTGGGCCTAAACGAGTCAACGAACTCTACGCCGCTTCTTAATTACACGATGTAATCTCTACAGCCGGAGATTCGCTACCCGTGAAATACGCTCCTGTCTTTATTAGATAATACCAAGCTCCGGTTTTTCAAGTTCCCCAGGTAGTCATCCGTGTAGCTAGAGCCTCGGGCCACGCGGCAGATGACGTTTCGATGTATTCTCAAAAATGGCACCCGGTTACGCGACATTTGTATCGTCGCCCAAAAGAAAGGCAGAAAGTTTGGATAACAAGAAATCCGATGCAGACGAAGTAACGTTATGTCCCATAAGAATTTCATTCGCTCGATAAACAATGGCATTTACCGCTCGGTAGGAAATAATTTCGCATTAATTTATTCCGGCGAAACTCAATTCTACGTCTACGGCAATTAAGAGCGTGATTTAAAGGCCACGCGAATGGCGCATTTACTGCCCGGTCATCTATCCGAGTTATGCGTGTAAGTCGGTAAATTAAGAAGAGGAAGGAAGAAGGACTGACTTCGCAGCGCGCGCGCGAGAGAGAGAGAGAGAGAGAGTGTAGGGACTGAGAGGGCACCCGATGGAGAGCGAGGAAGAAAAAAAAAGGATATATAAAGACAAGAAAACGAAGATACGAGAGAAGAATAAAGGAAGAGGTACACGATGAAAAGCCACGTTTGTTATACCTTCGGGCGGTGACTTACACCAAGCACGTTCATTGCGCTGTACAGAGAGGGACTGTAAAAACGTCACCTTACCGCAAGAACGCACCGTACCATCATACAGCGACGTCTCCTCGGGATTTAACGCCCGCGCGATAAATTATTTCGGGCTGTCGTGCACTTCGGCCATGGTGGGACAAAATCTTAATTTTTTTCTTTTTTCAACACTAGAAAGCGATCCTCTGATTTCGTATGGGCTACGGATAGGAGGACCGTGTCTAGTGTACCGGTAGTGTTAACGGCGGTAGCCTCACTGAGAATAATAACAATAATAGCGGGTAACATAACGACGAAGACGGCTCTCTTCCAGCGAGTAATATACGACCGTACTTCACGGTGAATTCTTACGAAAGCGACGACGCCTTACCCAGATCGACACGCGACACATCACGGCCTTTGGATTCCATAGTGATAACCATTAACTGCAGTCGTCTTACGTACCTGCCCGGTCCACATAGCTACGAGCGGGTCTTCTTCTACGAGACCGAGCAGTACGTGGTACAGGAAGATGTTCCAGGTTACCTTTTCCTGGTATCTCCGCGTGATAACTCAGATTCCTGATCCTCTTCAAGCCTCCAACTTCTTCCCTGACACTTCTGGCATCGCCGGCACTTAGCTCACAGCCTCCGTTGTCCGGTAAAGGACGTGTTTCAAGTACGCGGAACGTACCTTGAGGAACTCTTGAGCCTAAAGCTATTATGACTACCCGGTGACCCCGGTGACCCCGGGTCGCCTATTGATAGCGGGATGGCTTCGCTCTTGAAGGCTTCGAGTGCGTTTCCTTGTCCTCTTAAAATTCCACGCGGTTCCAGGACCGACGAGGAGTGGAAGTTCCACTCCAGAAGACGCTCGCGTCTCGACGCCGAAGAGGAGCCGTGAAGACGCTTGAGAATACCCAAGAGACACGACGAGGAAGAGCTACGTCGAAGGAAAGGTGCACGCTGGAGACTGGAAATTTTTTGGGTCGAGGACCCGTCCGTCTTGTTCCTCTCGTTCCGACGATAATAATAAAATAAACCGGCCTCGGATAATTCGTGCGGATTCGTACGAATAATTCTCCGGGCGAAACGGGCCCCGCTCACGCACGCCACGCACTTGCGTACGCCTGCGTTTTTATGTAATACTTATACGTATGCTATACGTACAGCTGTATATGCTTACTCGCCCATGGTATATATGTTGTATGTATACGTATGGGTACACGGGTAAGCCCTGCCCAAGAAAGGTTTGCCGTATTATACACGTCGGCCTGCAGATCCCAGAGATTAGGGGTCATCCACCCGCCGAACCGGGGATCTCTGGATCCCGTCCGAAAGGCTTGCAGCCTCGAGCCAGGTGACTCGATGGATTTACACTGGTTGTAAATGCGCGTGATCTGCTTGGCTGCGCGATACGCAGCCTTGCTGCGTCGCTCTCCGGATAGTTCACGATGAGAATGGATCGACCATTTGGAATTACGTCGAATGTACTTTACATCCTGCGATTGAGGTCTACTGTGGTTCGGCACCGAATCAAGGATCAAAAACTGCCTTGATATCTTAAGGGGGTTGCGCCAGTGACGATGCGAACGATGACTGATCCTTTCTTGTTTATGTTTTATTCAGGTGCATCCCGGATGGCGGGGACGTCGGTTACACGATGACGGAACTGCAGCCGTCACCGCCAGGATATCGCGGTCAGGATGAGGCTCCCGGGCCCCCTTCCTGTTCTTCGGCCTCCTTCAAATACAGCACACACGCCGGACATCCTGAATCTGGCTCGTACAAGGGCACGGCCTACCTTCGTGATCATTACGGCAAGGACTCTTATGGGAAGCCTTCCTCAAGGTCGCCCTCGGATTATTACCACGATACGAATGACATCGGCAGACGCGACGTTGAACTCAACGGGAAGAAAGTGTCTGGATACATGGACGGATATAAGAAGAATGCGCCTGGATATAAGAATGACAGCGGGTATATATAGTTGTGGATGCTATATGTATATATACTCGAGGTTGAATGTTCCTTGGTATTATTCTTATTGTAATTACAGGTACAGCGAGAGTCTTGGCTTTGATAGCTTCAGTCTTCCTCTTAATGAGAGGGACGAGTCGTCCCCCCCGCCAACCCCACCAGTCAGGGATGCATCCAGTCTCAAAGGCGTTTGCTACGGCCCTGGACACGAGAAGTATCCTTCCTGGCCAAGCGCTCCCGAAAGACATCCCGACGAGGAGCTCCACTCTTCCTCTGGACACAGCGGATCTCACAGATCGAAGTCCTGGACCGACCATACAAATTATCCTAAAGAGAAACCGGCCCAGTACACCAGACCCCACATGAAACGACCCAATCCGGCGTTCACGCAGCAGGTAATCCCGAAGAAGGGAACTGAGATTTAAGCAAGATGGTACCGGGAGTGATAGTGATAATGATGATAATAATAAAAGGTAGTGTATATAGGAGGTGAAAGGCTGAGCTCAGCGTGATGATCGCAATTGTCGCTCGGCGCGATTGTTCAGGATCCGCAGCTTTCTCACCCACGCGAACTCGAGGAGCGAAGGTCGAGGTCGACGAGGAATCGACTCGATCGTAAATCTTGACCAGTTTGAAGCACGAAAACATCGGTCGGTAATACCGAACCGATCGTAGGTCCCGTTTCCATGGGTTCATTATTGCAATGACGAATCCGCGGGTTATAGTATGTCATCGGTAATTACATTTGGCATGGATCGATCAAGTATCTTTGACGTTTGCTCGCTTGATGTATAACCCATTTTTTCGAAGGTTGGTCATCCTGACGGAATTCTTGTGGGAGTTCGAAGAAACTTTAAAGCGTAATTACAAATTGCCTATCGCGAATGGCCGCCGGGTGAAACCTTGCTCCATAATGGAAGTGCGCCCTAAAACCGTCTTGGACAATGGCTGTTATAGATTACTCCTACGATTCCTTTCTCTGGATGACGTAAGCGGGTCGAAGTAGCTGATTTCCTTGAAAGAGGTCAGACACATCGACGTAGGAATTTCTTCATTGTAACTTCCTCCAGATGAATTCCATATAACGATGACAATGGAGATAGACACGATCGAGAGAGATCCTTAGGATTCGAGGTGGCTATCGTGATCTGGATGAAAAACGGTCACGATTTCATGCATACGATCTCATCAGGGTATCGTTAATGGTCTCAGATCGGATTCATCGGATTTCTATTCTTGCCCATCTACTCGAAATGGCTCTTATTCTATTCCAGTCTCTCGATGCGAGAGATTTTTCTCTAAATAAACACTAACCACGAATACTCAGAGATCCGGCCTCTCCTTTCTCTCCGTGGTGGGTATTTCGGTTTCCGGGCGCTTAGCCAATAAACGCTCGACATTGGCTTGGCAGTACGCGTTTAAAGTGCTCGTGAGCGGATCGTGACGTTTCTGCGAGTTCTCAGCTTGGACGGGTCCATTGGTGTTCGTAGAAATGGGAATTCTAGCCTCCAGCGTAAAGACGAACACTTTGCCAAAATTATTCTCCAGACGGGTCTTAATGTGCCGGTTAAGATAATCTGATGACTCTTCTTTCAGCTGAAGACGGTAATGGAGCGCTGTGAGAAAATACCTGCCGAGACTTTTGAGTCTCGTGGCAGGAACAACGTGGACGAGGAACCGAGACTCTGGCCTCGTGTTGATCGCGAGGGCAAACCTCTGGGGGACGCTGAATACGTGGTGCCATCGCCACCGGAAAGGGAGCAGCAAACGACTCAGACTTTGAGCCATGCCGATCTGGAAGCTTATGTTAGGAGTTATCAGGATCCTCAGGTATCCCAGGTTGGGTGATATGATTTCTTTAAATGACTTGTTATGCATACAGTGTGTCATATGAAATTGTTTATTTTTTATCTTTTCCCACCAGGTGGACCTGTACCAGGAAACTACGCTGACTCAAGCAGGCCTGGAGGAGTATACCAGAGTCCAGCACTCTCAACAAGCCAGCTATGCTCAATCCGAAGGCTACCATAGTTATGTATCCAGTGTAGACTCTACCACGAACACACCTTTCCTGGACAGGTAGGTCCATCCGTTTGTTTTCATATAGATTTGTACTAATCTTCCACCGATTCTTTCAACTAGACTGAGAAGAGACAGCGAGGCTGTAGCTCAGAGACCCACCTCCACCTGGGATGACTCCAGGGAAGGACGGGACAGCGTGGTAACTACGTCAAGTGGCAGTGCTTCCAGCAGCGAGACTTTGAAGTGGCACGGTTCCATGTCGGACGTGAGTGTCTCCAGTGGACTTCCGGCGCGACAGAGCGCTCCTGAAAAATGGCATCATGGCTCCATGTCGGACGTCAGTATGAACGGTTTGGCGGGGAAGCAGAATAATGTCCATGAGAAGTGGCAGGGATCGATGAGCGACGTAAGCAGTTCTGGCATGTCGCCCTTGAAGAGTCGTCACGCGACGGAGAAGTGGCAAGACAAGTGGCAGAATTCGATGAACGAAAGGAACAAACGCGGAAGGTCGAGTCTACCTCCTGTCATTGCTAATTGCAATTCTGCTGGTGATATCTGTCAGGGTCACGAGGGCAAATGGCAAGAGTCGAGCATCGATGAAGAGGCTCATGAGAGAATGGGGAATTCGAAAAATCAGTGGGAGTCGTCAGGGAGGAGTGACCAGGAGAAGTATAGCTCGTTACCTCAGCCAATGCCTCAGAGTCCTACTCAGAGCGGGCTGGCTGGACCCCAGAGCCCTGAGAATTGGACGGGTCATCATGGCTCAATGTCTGACGTCAGTGCCAATGGGGTTCAGGGCAGTAAACAACTGATTGCGCATAGTGCAAGGGTGCAAACTCCGCAACGGCATCATTCTGAAAGTGTATTGTACCTGGATCGTGAGCGTAATCAGAGGAAATTGTATCCTGTCAGTACTACTCAGCCGCAAGACATAGCACAGCCAAGGTAATATTTAACGTTGATCATTTAAAATAGCCAGGACGCCGATAAGTCCATAATTGATTGACGTTGTTGTTGTTGATGTTGCAGAATGGCTCCTACTTCACCCCAACAGCCTCAACTATCGGTGGCGGAGAGGATCAACGAATTGGAGAAGCAGCAGCAACAGCAGCAGATGAGGTACACGTATTTGGATCCTGAAAAACGTCATAGGGTATCCGATCCCACGCTTAAGGCGATTCAAAAGAAAGCTCTACTATCGTTTTATGAAAGACATCATCAAGCATCGTGGAGATCAGAACCACAACTAGCTCAGGGAGCTACCCCAACACCTCAGAGTCCGCCTCCTCAACCACCTCCACGACCTAGACCACCTTCTTCAAGGAGAGCTAGCTCAGCCTCGGATTATGCAAGCGGAACGTGGCGTGAGAAGACTGGCAGGGGTCAAAGTACTTCAGACATGCCAAGTCCGAAGCATCAGCACAGCAGTAGTTGTGGCAGTCTCTCGACAGATTTATTGGGACCAGTGATAGTGGGTCCAGCCATATCAATCGATGATTGGGTCCCGGAAAGACCCCCGAAGAAACCTCACTTAAGAAACGTATTCAACGATCGTGTCCCTAGCCCGGACTTGCCACCACCATCGCCACCCACGGTAACTGAGAACGAAGTTCTCAACTGCGATGATCCTCTGCCACCACCACCACCCGAGTTAAGTGATAATCCGTCCGAGACCAAGGAACCTGCTCCTTCGGAAGATAAGAAACGAGATCATCCTGAGAGACATAAAGCCCAGCCTGAACGACAGTCTGTCCGAAGGTCAAAACATGGGAAACGGGACCACGAAAAAACAAAATCATCACCAGTCACGACGCCGACGAAGAGCCAGCAGTTCGTCAGAGGGTCAAGTGTAAAACACGTAGACTCCGAGATGGTCCTGGAAAACGGCGTAACCGCGGGATACGCCACTCACAGAATGGTAGCGACAGGAAGATCAAGTCTGAGATATCCTTCCACGCAAAAGCTGATGGTAAATGGCAGAGTGGCACCAGTCAGAAGAATATCAGAAGAGCGACTGTTCCCGACAAGACCACCGGCACAGTTGCCAGATCTGATCTCGCAACGTTACAGCGACTCTGGTAACCAGAGGCCGTCGCCCCAGGTACCCGTAGAGCCGAGAATCATTCGACAGGAATCGATGAGGGTTGAGAGCACAAGGATCGACGCCTCGGGCCTCCTCAGGAATGACAGTCAGCGACTAGAATCATCATCTGGTCAACGGCCGCAGCCCCAGGTGCCTAAGGGCGGAGAGAAAGGTCCGCAACCAACCCGGCCCAATTACTTAGCCATTCCCGAGAACACGAAGATATCCAAATACCCTGAAAACGCTCATAACTTCACAATCGGTAGCCCCATTAAGACGAGCTACGAAGCCAGCTCGAAGCTCTTCGCCGAGGGCAGTCCCCAGAAGTATCACGAACCACCGAAATACGTGCCTAATCTCCAAAGACATTCGGAAACGCCATCAAGGAATTACTATGCTCTACCGCCAAAGTACGTCGACGCTCCTAAACAGAAACCACAGCCTCAGTCACCGTCGGACAGATACGGAGGTGGTTCACCAACTTCACCACCGCCGCCCCTAGCACCTAGACAAAACACACCAGGACGGAAGTCCTTGCCGCCTCCACCGCGACCCGCGCCGCCTCTCGGCCAGCAAGGGTAAGTTTTTCAATAGTTCACATAAAATCCATTAGATTTAATATTAATTTCCAGATGTACAATTATTTTAATATTTTGTCTAATTTCAAAAATTCAATTTTCAAAACCATCACCGACTACTAACATAACGTATTTAAAAATCTATGGAATCTATGGAAAGGTTAAAATCTATGGAATCCATACAAAAAATCCCATTTTAGCAAAGAGCCAACACACACGAGTCTCAATGTTAACTGCTTTATTATCCGCAGTTTAGCGTCCATAAGAGCCGCACGAGCAAAATAAGTGCCGTCGAGTTGGGATTGGTCGCTGTCGGAGCGGCTTATTTTATAATTGCAATATAATTGAATGGTAAATGAGCAACCGCATCTACAGACACGAGACTGAGTTCGGTCATTACATTTGATCATCGAATTCATTGCTTTACGTGCGATACATTTATCTCTCGCCGATCAATTAAATTAGTATATCCCATAATAATACCCTTTCTATTGCCAATGCCGAATGACTGGTAGAGATCGATATCGGTTCAACGTTCGACGAAGGACAACCCGATAAGAATATAATCGTCCAAGACTTTTGATTTTGACGGATTAAAAATTTTCCTTTTTATTATTTGTAACGCTCTAGGATCTGCTATCTGAATATTATATATCAAGCGCCTCTGAAAGATCATCAAGTCCATCCTCACATTTCTTATGCTGTACCTGTTAAGTACCATTAGGTCGTATGGCGAATCGTTTATTATTAGCATAAAATTATCATTGCAAATATTTATAACACCAGCCTGTTACCCAGCGAATTATAGCCGAATAACATTTATAAATTAATTCTCCTTTGGATTTTTAATGATTTCGTACCGTTACACGGCTATTCCCGTAAAGGCCTATCTGCATGTCGATTTTAATAAGCATAACGTCATCTCTATGATGAATTCGTTCCTCGACCACAAGTCCCTTGGACTTGCTACGTAAGCCAAGGTCGTGCTGCAAATCGTGCGGGAAAGTTTAAGAGAGCAAGAAAGTGTAGATCGGCAGTAACCAGAGATAGTTTATCTTGCCCGAGACTAATCCGATGAATAGTCTGTTCTGCCGATCGTCGAGATTATTAGTCGTGTCAGTCCGTGTCGATAGAACAGACGTCTCCGCCCCAAGGGCAATGCCATTGTGAAAATTGCTTCCACACGGCCCGTGGAGAATCGCCAAGTTGCTTCTTGTACATTGCACACTGGAACCTTCCTCGAGTCAGTGAAATCTATACGGTTGGTATAATTATTTGTATTGTCGATATACCATCCATTCTCATTTCGTATACTAAAATATAAAAGGTCCTTAACGAGGCATTAAAATTTAAGGTAAAATTTCATCCCATGAAAGAAATCGGTAAACAATCCAGTTAACGGTACAACGGGGACGCATCGGGGTAAAGGCGTGCTCGCAATCGGCGAATCGAAATTCATTAAACGATTTCCGGATATTGAAGATCAATTTCGCAGGACACGGCGTTCTGATCGAACGATGATAGAAAAAATGGTGGTCACGGTCCTTGAGCATAATCAACTCCGCGGATGGATAGACAATCAATGATCATTAAACTGACGAATCATTGAGAGCCAATGCGTGAAAAAATCGATCGAACGACGGACGAAAAAAAAATTAAAAATAAGGAGAAAGGACGTCGGAGAGTCCTGATCATTTTTACCTCTGATTGTTTATCAATCAGTGGCCCACCGCGTTTACGCAATCCATCACGCGAGTCTGCGCATGAATAGATGATAATGAATGACTCCGCTCCGCTACCATTAAGACGTATGACAGGGCTGTTTGTGCCCACGACAGATGGTACGTGCCCAGTAAAGTCAGCCAGTCCCGTAAATCAAAATGCCATGGGTAACGCTCGCTAACAATTTGTCAAAATACTCAGAGACCAAATTTCTGCAGAAATTCATAACGATATATGCCGCGAGAAATTTGACTGAATTCACAAAATAAAAAAGAAAATAAAAAAAAAATAAAAAATAGTCCACACTTCAGCATAAAATCAAACTCTCATAGCACAATGACAGTCATTGCAAGAGTAGAGTGCGAAACAAAAAAATAAGTCGAGCAAGGACGTTTCTTATACGCAAAATTACAATTGGAAATGTAAATAGGACCCAAGTGATGCCAGACTCCATAAAAATCTCGACCGAAGCATCTACCTGAGGTCTCGTGACCCAGAGCCTCTTTGAGCATCGGTCCATGGTTTTTCGGGCCACGGAGCATCCTCGTCCCTGGGTAAAAAAAAAAAAAGGAAAAAAAAGGTAGAAACGATCAGCCGATAATAATTGCACCAGGGGAGAAGAGCGTGCCCGTTGGTCGAGACTCTTTACCTCGAGTCAGGATGCAGGATGTACAGTTGATCTCTCGGGCGCGATAAATCTTTTCACCTTTCTTTTGTTTCCTCCGCGCTCTGATTGGGCGACTAGTCGCCTCTAGCAACGGCCGAGTGGCTGCCGAAATATCCTCCGCACGGCGTATTAAGACGTTAAGTGTTTATCCACGCATCGGGAAACATCCTCTTGATACATTATCCTTATCAAGCTACCTAACCTAAAATCATACCAACCGGAGCCAGGATCCGTTTTGCTGAAAAAAATACGGTATAGGATTTTCACTTTTCCGTCCCATCCTGGAATAATTGGCTGTAATTCCTGGGCAGAGTTATACTGGCGATATCAGCGATTCGCGAGGGTCGTGACACTCCGGGACGGGAGTGAAGATGCGTAATAAAACGAAAAATAATGTCCGATTCGAGCATCGGTTACAGGGAGCGTTGTAAATCAAGCGGCATTTTGCGTTTAACGAGTCTTTGCGCCTATCCTCGTCCCTGTGCACGGTCGTCCTTTTTCTTTCGTCTTCCTCCGTACCGTCTCACCGTGTGCTTTATCTGTCCTCTGCGAGTCAGCCGAGGCAAACTCGTTTTACATTACTATTATACCGCGTATGTACATACCTACCTATATGTATACACCTGCGGCTTAGACCGTCGGATCTTCTTATGCCAGCGAACAGACACCCGTAGAAAACCTTAGAGACCTTGTTGTTGCTACACCGTACTATTGCGATTCTTCCGCGACAACCTGCTATCGCTTGACGTCCAGTTGGCCGGTACCTCTTCGCCTTTAGATTGCCGCACGAGGATCTTTCGTATCGATCGGCAATGTATCGATACTCTCGTTTCTCCCTCGTGGAGACCGGATGAAGATGACTGGTGCTAGTTTCCTACCGATTCACTTCCATCGGGTAGCTCGCCCAGGATCTAGGCCAATTGTGTGGAACAGTATACGACACTCGATACTTTATGGTTAATGGTAGTAGCGATGCGCCCGAACGGTAGCAGGGTTAGGTTAGGTTGGACTTTGTAAGAATAGAGATGGCGGGAAATCGTAATATTTCAAAGCCGGTCACTCGGACCGATCTCAGGCACCGTACTCGTATCGTCGTCATATCCTGAGCTTGCTCGACGACGTATCCCTTCCTTCCTGTTAATCCTTTCGTCATTCCACGTAAACCGTCGGCCTTGCATTTTGCTCGGCTGTTCGCTGGAATGTGACCGTCTCCGCGGGGAAGGAAAAAAAAAAGAGACAACGTACAAAAGAGACTCGGGTTTATTGGAGCATAAAATCGCGCGAACTAACTGCCCACCGAATATGCTTTACACTAAGGTACTACGTAGTACCGGCGGTCCGAGCATAATTCGGGAAATACTTTCGTTAGTCAAAAGTCCCACAGTGTCCTGGATAAGATTATTTAAAAAATTTTTAAAAAAATTTAAAAAAAAATTGGATAAATCCTAATTACATTTTTTTTCACCTACTTACCTTTTCACCGTCATCACTTCGCAGTAAACGCCTTCGTGAAATTAATATTAAAATAATTCAATGGCTCTTTTTTTTCATACGCCATACCACGTGCTTCCGATTATTAACCCGCCAATCTCAAGCGCCTTCGGTATACGGACTGAACCTCTCGAATAAGTTTTATAGATTTTTCGCTTCTAATCTCCGAACAAGAGTTTAATACAGCAGCACCCGTTTTCCATCTACGTACTACAGCGCCGTGAAGGTTCCGCCTCTGAAAGCGACGGTCTCGCCAAAGGCAGCGACAATGCCAGCAGTGCAAGGAGCGAGACCAAGCACGACACCGGACACGAGCTCACGGAACCGTCTCGAGGAAGATACCGTTCTTCTCGGCGACACTCGCTCTCCCAGAAAATCGTACCCAGGAACTCGAGGAATCGAGAGAACGAAACGAACGGCAGAGTGGCAGGGAGTCCGAATCGTTGATTTAGTAAGAAAAAAAAAAAAAGAAAAAAAAAAGAAAAAAAAACAAAGAGTAAAAAAAATATTATAAAGCCATAAGAGAAATATAGAAAAAAAAAAAAAAAAGAAAAAAAAAAGAAAAAAAAACAAAGAGTAAAAAAAATATTATAAAAGACTCGAGTTCGTACCCGTTCGTACACGGGATGAAATTATCGCTATGTTTTTCTCACTCCATTAAGTAACGAGTCACGTCACGCGAGCAGAAGTCATTGGCCTGTGGCTATAAGCATCGTGCGCTAACAAATTGCAATAATTTGCGTGCGCTCTTGTCCGTTTGCCACATCCGATCCGTTTTCACGAAACGTCCCGCGTCGAGTGTACGATACACTTATGGTACAACCGTACGAGAATTATGTTGCGGTATATCTGGCTGTTTTGTAAGTGGGTATGAATGGTGGTAGTTTGAACTAAAAAATATATATATATATATATAAACTGCATGAATGAGCACGTGGCTCGAAGTTGGGCTGCATTGTTATGCACCACGTGCGCTGCACCCGACTCGTACCAAGTAGCGTGCAATAAAGTGCAGATCGTAAAAAAAAAGAAAAGTCCAGCACGCCTCCTTCTTACGGAGATTGCGAACTGGCCATTGTCAAGGGACATCCGTTTCTCGTTTTGATTTCGTAGGGGCGGAACGTGAGAGCCGCGGCTTGGCGATTTCTTTTTTTTACCTTGTTTACCTCGGAGCGATTATGCAATCAAGATCTCGTCTGTTTACACATTCCGTTACCAAAGTGGCTGGTCACTCGAAGCTGTCGTAAGTCTCGAAAATAGGGGGCCGTTGGGTATTTTTGTGTTTTCGCAAATTTTTATTTTTTTTATCTTTCTATTACACCATCGTCCCACTGCGCACTAGACTAGACTGCTTTATGTCTGATGTATACTTTATTCGCATCGATACCGAACGCACGATCTCTCGTATCTGCAACACGAGAAGACCTTGCTAAATAGTACGAGCGGTGCTCGTGGACTTGGGAAAATGAGGTTGCAGAAGTATCCACCGCGTAAGGTAATATCTGTGTGTGATTCGCGGTGAAAACGAAGAAGTACAAGGATTCTAGGTATAGATATACTTTAGTTTTGCAGCGTGATTAGAATCTTTATTGAGGCTTTTTTAGAGGTTCAAAAGAAATTTTAATGCATTTTTTTATTGTTCACTGATAGTAAGTCTATCTACGATTGGCTCTAGTATCACGCGATAGGAAAATCAGTACGGAATGGCTTACAAAACACCGAATCGTTGACTGCCCGAAGATCGTTGGGAATTTCGTTTTCGATCTTCTTAACGATCTATGCAATTCGTACGTGTTTGAGCAGCTGTTGCTCGAGCTGTAGCATTGGGCTTGGCGTGTAAATTAAAACGGTCGAGAATTTCGCGATGATCCAGGGCCATACCGACCGGAATAGCCAGACTGAAGTACGGTGGGTTATATCAGTAGCACCACTAGAAATCGCTAAAATAGCAAATGACATCAGTGGTTAAAACGGCAGTCGACTGAACGCGCGTCTGATAAGCTGACGTGTTTTTTTTCCCCTCGTGAATGAAGAGCCGATAAATTCGCGAGTAAATTATTGTAAGGTATAATTCGGTGTATCGAAGTAAATAAATCATGAGTGTAAATATTTAGTGCGGTATAACGGGCGGTACGTGAAATTCGTATTATCGAAAAGAAGAATGCAATTCACCCGTGTGAACAAAAGTCTTGGATATCAAATGATTAACAACGCAGAACACGGAGACATGAAGCTCGTTGCTTGTTGCACCAGGTAATCATAATAACAATGACGAATGCAAATTTCATACAGTGTGGGCGTGCGTATTTGCATATGGTTTCGCGGAACGGAAGCGCATCGATAACCCCGATAACTGCAATCGTGTCACGGTGAATGACACTTATCGTTAAAAAAAAATATTCCCATCCCAACAGCGGAAGGATATTTCATTGAACAATGCGGTGTAAAGAAATCGAGTTCAAGTTGTTTTACTGTTTTTGTCCCATTGTCCATTTTAGTACGATGTTCGTTGAGAACCAATAATTATTATTAAGCATATAGGTTTAGTACGTATATATACGTGTATATATATATGTGTGTGTATTGGATTAATAACACCCTCGAGCGTGCAGCTCCTGACATAAAGGACGTGACGTATTCGCTATGAAAAAAGTATTTGATTGTCATATTACTCCGGCCACGTCAAGCCGTGCGTTTCTACTAAGGCCAAATGGAGTTTTGAAAGTTGACCGTTCGCGAATTCGTCAGTTTCTCTCGTTTCAATAGGAAGAAGTCGCGTGTACGATAATATCAGTAGCAGTCATTGGCAGAAGGGAGGCTGAAGCCGGAAACGAACCCTTGACCTTAAAAAAAAATAAAACGACTAAACTCGTGAAATTCTTCTGTAGAGATCGTTACGCCTGTGTATATATATAGATAGAGATATATGTATGTCAGAAGTATCCATATCGATGCTGTACGAGTAGTTTGGTAACGTGCATTACGCCTGATCAATCACACGAAATTGCACAGCGTCGTGGCGCTTTTTCATCGTGAAAAAAAAAGGTATCGGCCCAACCTGTTAATAAAGTCCAAAAATCTCTTCTGTTTGGGACGTGGATAAACTGACTGCAAGTAGTCTGATTAGCTGCCAGTACCTGGGAGAGAAAGGAAGAGATATAATAAGGTGAAAAGAAGAACGAAGAATGCAGGAGAGAGTGAGAGGGATATGCAGAAGAATGAGTGAAGCAGGAGCGACGTAGTACCGTGCGATGTATGTACGTTAAACTCACTTACCTAGGACAAACGCCAGAGGCTGTGCCGGTTTTCTTGGTTGGGACGAACGATCGCTCGATGCGGGTAAGGCCTGTTATTATCCGAGAATGCGAAAAAGGAGGACCGGGTGGGCATAACCTCTCTCTCGGTTGGTTCGACGGAAACCGTTAAAAAAAATGATCGGCTCACGCCTCGTTGCTCGCTTTTATACAGGTTGTATAATAAACGGCTTTCGTGGTTGGCGGAGAAGGAGAGAAACCTTCACCTTCGATGGGATGCGTGCTGGAGTCTTGGATTCCGGGAGCTTTCAAGATCGTTAACGATCACCCGCCAACCTCGTGTTTTCTGTTCTTTCGATCTAATTGAAAATACCGCCCTTGGATAAACCTGCTAACGTGAATCGCTGTCGTTGGAACGAGTACGTGTGCTTCTTACGGATCGTTATTAATAGAAGGTCGTGACTTTAATGGTCGCCATAACAGTACGCGTCAACGACCAAACAAACAAAAACAATAATGTTTATGCCGTACGTTAATGTCTTATAAGTTTATTCTCGTCGTATCTCCTCGATTCTTTATATTCTTAATTATCTATCGTATATTAATATGATACGTCATGTCATACGTGCTTCATTATATCCACTAAGGTTGTACTGATCGTGGCTTCGGATCTGAGTTGAAACTAAGTTGACAGGCTCTGACCTGTCGCCGATCCAACGCGTCGAGTCGCTTCGTGGATGCTCGGGAACGGTCGGCCGTGCTCGGCTCATTCTTTTTATCTGTGCCTCTTGCCCGACCCGTGGCTCCCAGCGGGTCGGCTCATTCTGTTGACAGCTCCCGCGCAGTGCGCAACGCTAACTAGAGAGTTTAAAGCAACGTCACTCCAGCGATTTTGACAGCTGCCAAAAACGCCTCCCGGAGAGTTATTGCTTTCTTATTGTTTATTTGTCCGAGCGCTCGCGTGTTCGCTTGCGCCAGTGACGCAGACTGTTGCTTCGTTTCGTAGGATGGTAAACCGTCTTTGGCGCATTCATGGAAACGCGACCGAGTGAAGTGTACGCGGACGATGATTTTACGAGAGTTTCGAAGTGTCTAGTGAAAAGAACAATCGACGCTCGATTCGTCGTTATTACGCGAGTGTACGAACGTGGTGATATCATGACTTGATGATTTAACGGTTGGACAGATGTTGAATTTGAGTGTTTACAATTTGGCGGCTAGCATCAACACGATGGTTTTCGGGAGTAATAAGTTTCGTATAAGGAGGTACGTTTCATGGTGTTAACGATGCACACTTTTTATTCTTTACCATTAAAGTGACGATACTTGTACGCTTCGTTATTGGACAAACGTATAAATTGCTAACGCGGCAGCTTTTAGTTTCGTTTAAAAGTGCAATCGCACGTGTTGGCATATGGAATAATTGTGCAATGAACGACAAAACTTGCTTATATAGAACAATAATTAGCGCTGTCTCGTGTTCTGTTCGGTGAGATCGATTATCACTCGTTTATATTTTATCGGACTTTATTTGATTCGAAAACAATCGATGGACGTCGGTAACCACATTGGAATTGAATTCACAGATGGGAATAACTGTCTTTATCGTATCGAAGCCGATTGACGATTAAGATAATATTTATTTGTTTCTCCTCTTCGAGTCGTCTACTTTAGTGTCGTCAACCGACGCTGTATTACGTCATGTATGGTCAATAATGCTCACCGTCCCTTCTGTGCTCTTCGTAGCGTGACTATTCGAATTTTCACCTAGCAGCCATTGATATCCTGCCGGGCAGTGCGGTTTATTTTTTTTCCTACTATTTAGTTCTGCACCACAGAAATAAAATAAGCCAGAACGAAATATTCAATAATGTGAAATAGACGTGCTTTTCTTTTCATTTCTATGTTTTTTTCCCCGTATATATTCAGCAGAAATCGTTTTAGACAATTCGAACGGAATCAGTTATGGTCTATGATCGGCATGATCGTTAGGAAATAAATTCGTATTATTTTCACCGTACTCCCTGAACCGATTGATCACTTTTGAAATACCCTATAAAGCGTGATCCTATCATTCGAAGGTTTACGGCGTATCGATACTATGGCGATTACATGCTTTTCTTTCACGTCGAGAATACAAAGATTAACCATAACATTGATCGAGTGATCGATACATTTTTTCAAATGGAAAATTCAATGTCTGACACGCAGTAAATATACCTTCCTCAATATATCCTTGATAAAACCGAAATTCATCGTTGGCCCGCGATTCGTAACGGTACCAATACTTAAATCCAATTTTGGGGTAAATTATCAAGAAATTTACTGATGTTACGCTATTCAGTCATTACGTTCTGTCAATTATCAATGCCATTGTTTAGTAAAGTTAATCGGTAGCACTTGATCACTGAACCAGCTTTCCATCAACCATACGTCATGCCTGACGTCATATTCCGTAGCATAAAATTCACGTTATATAAAAATCATTTATTAAATTCGATAACTCAGCCGTATGAATAAAAAAAAATTGTCTAGCAACGATCCTCGTTCTCTATTTCTGACGATATTACAACGTTACCTCGTTACCAGTAGCAGCTGACTCTTATTAAACGAAGAATATGGACTAAATGCAAAAATATTCGTGACCAGTGCGGGCGATCGATACTCCGAATACAAAATGAGCACGGTCGAGCAATCAGGTCGATGGAATTAATCACAATAATAGGAAATACCTTCTGTATCACCCTGTACCGGCGGATCTACCGCAAATTTAAATCATCGAATTGATAATCAATCTCACTTGAGATTACGTATCCTACGGAGCAGAATCGACCAAGAAAATCAGTAAATCGCCCACCGTGCTAATTTCATCTATGACTTTTGACCAAAGTTCGCTCGCGCTCGCATCCCATGGGAAAATAATTACGTTGCGTACAGGCCATTACGTACGCGGCTGGAACCAATGTTCCCCATGAATCCATTCCAAGCTATCAGTCCAGCAAGTACCTGCACTAGCGGTATCGTGTAAGAAGCCTGGATGCTTTCAATCGATCAGTCATCTGAGCGGCCACGAATATTTCTCCCTGTCGAGTATCGATTATGTATCGATAATCGATTAAAATCACCGTTCAGGATATTAGCAGTGGCTTTTGGGAATTGGTCGTATCTCTTTGATCACCTTCGAGAGATCAAGAGTGACATAATTATTTCACCTGACTGCGTTTCAAGATTGCCCAATGATATCGGCCGACCGACTTATCAGGGTTCGATTAGCGAGTCCAGGCGTTAGTCGCAGTAGGTCTGCGCTATAACAGATAGTGCACCTATCGCCTAGTGCAATTTCATACTAGGATCGTACCAATTAATAATAGACATCACGTTCCTGACACGCCCGCAATCCTAGCGAAGTCCCTGGGTACTAAGCGTAAGACCTATCGGCTTCCACGAGTCATTAGGCAGATCGAGCAGCTCCCGTTAATTAATAATTTCCTAATTACAAATATCGTAGAGATACACGGGTTAATAGCCCCACGATTCCTCATCCGACCTTCCGTCCAGCAAGAAGATATTCTCTTACTGAATTTTTTTCCTCCTCTCGCACCCCGCGCGCTTTTCGCCCATTAAAAGGACACGACCTAATCCAAGTCTCTCTCTCTCTCTCTCTCTCTTGGCGATACAGTCTCACGAGAGTCAAGCACGACTACGCCACTCGGCTTTTTACTTGGCTCGACGTCAATTACTATTCAGCTCGTATTCGTCTCCTAGAAACGCCGCCTTACTTCTCCATCCGATTCTCTCTCTCTCTCTCTCTCTCTCTCTCTCTCTCTCTCTCTCTCTCTCCTGACTTTTCTTCACCCTCTAGGCCTCCAACCGTCCTCAGCGAGTCCCGAGTCCTCGTCGGCCTGTAATTAATAAAGCATCTTCTTCACCTCGAAGCGAGATGCAGCCATCAGCCGCGCGAACGCCGACAGCCTTATACCGGCCATGTACCGTTTTACCTGCGCGAAACTAGCTACGTTTTAGGTAACAGTCCTACGCGTTGTACCGCGCGAGAGCGAAGTGAATTTGCCGCCTTGCCGTTTCTCTCATGATCGTCCATCCGCCTTTTTCCTGGATACAATGAGCGCGAATAGTCCCGGCGGCCCCGGGGGGTCATTTTGACACGTGGGCAGGTATATCGTCCTACACCGGCTGAAAATGAATCAGGAAGATGCGCGCGCACAGCTGTCTGAAGTTCGCCCGGTTCCAGTTCCGCCTAGACGTAATTGCCAGTTGTGTACCAGAGGTGCATTTACCGAGGCGATAGAAGAGCGATGGCTGCGGCGTCACCGCAGCCACGATACGGAATGATAGGAGGAGATACCAGATGATGGGAAAGTGCGCGCGTGTATATATATCCGCACAATGTGGGTACAGGCAGACTAAAGAGGGAAGCAAAGAGCTCGATGTTAATCCCGTATTAAATATATATCCTATCCATGCGGTTACGGGACGTTCGAGTAGGCGGTCTGTATGTGAGCTGGATCAAGGCTGCTCCCAGCCCCCGGGGGGTATACCGTACGCGTGTGTATCTGGCTATACCCAGGTACCTGCGTACCCCGGCGGAATCAAAGATAAATGAAGCAAAACGACCGTGCGCGATATTACATTCGCTCGGCGGCGAACTTCCCTGTGCCGAGTCGTATCAGTGCGCGAGCGCCGCATGTAATAGAGATGCTACGTGATTTACAGCGCGCCCCCGTCGAACGTCAAACTTCCTACGACTTGGCCATAAATTACGGGGACTTGATGTCCTTTATACCGGAGTAGCGGGGGGCGAGCTGCGGGAACTGCCGGCTTATTCGTTGCATCTTGGATTTATTCAAGACCCGCGAGGGGGACGGGACAGCAACGTTGAACTTCAGTGCCGTACCTAGCGTGCTGTACGTCTGTTTCTTAGGTGTCCTTCTCGGAGGGCCAGGCGCGTGGCAATTCCCTCCGTCCGTAGAACAATAGTCTCTTTGTTTGAATTGCCAGTCGACCTGGCTTATACCCGTGCAGTTTGCCCGCTGTGTTCTTTCCCACCTTCCACCTCTTTTACTTGGAGCTTCACCTTCTCCCACCACCTACTACCGATTTCCTATCCTGGTGGGTAGAGCTCTTCTTCGGGGAACTCGGTCCCTGCCGGTAGGGCCCTCGGTGCGCTCTCTTGTCATTATCAAGGAACGCCGACGGAATCGCTTGCCGTCGTAATTGCTCCAGTCAAATTGAGTTCTTAGACTCGCAGTCCTATGCTAGACAAGTGTCCGCGTTATGACGACGTCGTACGACCTGGTATTCGGGGTCTTGGTACGAGATTCTATTTTCTGCCTGGTCGAATCAGTCACGGGGATGCTTCTGGTTTTCTGTGATTTATACGACTGTGGCCTCCTCGCACTACCCAATCAGTACGCATTCTCGTCGTTACTCTCTGCTTGATCGATTTCTTTGTTATTGATTAGCTAGGCGCTCGGGCAACGAAGGGATTCCGTCTGGCCTCTAAATGCCAGAGGACTTCGCACGCTTTCATGGCTTTACTGCTAACGAGCTCGCTTCTCCGCTCGCGCTACGAGCCATTCGCTAAGATTGCACGTAGCAAGAAGAAGGGAAAAAAGGATAACTACCCCGAGGAAGGTCTCTCGCAGCAACCCCCTCTTGCAACGTAATTCACGATTCGCGCAGGCTTAAATAGACCCGTGTAAATAATGCAGAGCGTCGCTAACGGAAGATCGACAGATGATGACGGCGATCCCAATTCTATCCCGATCATCGCCATCTGTTTCTCGCAGCCGTACAGTATAGTCTACCTTGGCAATCGTAGCCGGCATTACTCCTATAAGCATAGCGCCCATCGGGAGAACAGCGTGTCTTACCAACATTCCGACATCAAGCAATGGCCGCCGGTATACCGCGAATGCATATAGACTACAGTGTAGCCGGGTACAAGTAGCGACAGCCAGTGCGAGGCTGTGGGCAATCCTGAAAAAAGTCGAACGCCGACTAAATGAGAGAACGCGCGGTATGCGGCTTCTAAATCGTCAGCCGTCTCGTAATGGAGCGGAGCAACCGGGCACTCGCCGGTAACCGCTTTGTTGCCGGTTAGCGAGCTTTTTACCCTCGGCTACCAAGAACCTGGACAACCTCCAGGTCCGTGC